TAGAGTGAATTATGGCTATCGATCGCTTATTCCTTCGCCACACCACTGACGAAACGAGGAACAATGGGAGTGCATCTTCCTGCTGAAGCCGGCAAGATACATTTGTATGAATAGTAACAAGGTTGAATACAGCCACTTTCTGTGGGAAGATTCACTCGCATTGTTTTTCATTTCGTGAGTGGTGTGGCAAGGCCCTTCCCACTCCTGTTCATTTGGGCCTTCCGCATTTGCATTATTTTTAATTTCTCTCTTCCTTTTTTTTTTTTTTTTTTTCTTAATTTGGCCTAATCAAATTTGGGCGGTTTCTCGATTCATGGTTTGTCATCCTTCGACAGGGATTATGCTATTTATTCTTCTCGGCGTTTCTCAAATCTTTTTTTTTTTTTTTTTTTTTTTTTTTTTTTTGTTTTTTTTTTTTTTTTTTTTTTTTTTTTTTTTAAATTTTTTTTTTTTTTTTTTTTTTTTTTTTGCGATGGATGGTTTCGTTAGTACTTTATTTAAGTTATTATTATTATTGCCATGTGTTTAAGAAAATGTGCAACGGCCTTGAGGAAGTTGAGGCTTTGTTATCCAACAGATCGGCCCTGGGTTAACTGAAGGGTATAGCTGTGCTCTTTCGAGTGCGTCAGGATTCGAACGCGGATCTGTTTATCAAGATTTCTTGGGTTTACCTCACCCTCTGTGCGCTCTGTTCATTATCTTGTCGAACACTTTGCTTTTTCCCTTGTTTCACTTGTCACTCAGGGCATGCTCTCACACTAGGACTTTTTCGACTGAGATGTAGACGATGTTGCTCTCAGATGCATCCCGGTCTTCCCGTAATTGCAGTCCGATTCATTTAGGAAGTGCTCTTGTGAGTTTGCTCTTGTGAGTCTGCCCTCAGTTGAGACTCTAGAAACTTCAAGTCTTGGATAACTCACCGTCCTGGAGTCGCGGGGAGAGGCATAGGAGCCGATCACATTTGTGTTGCCATTACTTTGGCCACAGACACACAGAGAGAGAGAGAGAGAGAGAGAGAGAGAGAGAGACCCCGCTTGGTTAGCGGCTGTCACAAAGGGATCCCGGTAGGAGATAGGGGGACCAAGAGGGGGGGCTGGGGGGGAGAAGGGGAGGCGGAAAGGTCCTGAAGCGGGTGTGGATAAACCCTTGCAACAGGGAAAAGAGGGTGGAGCGAGACGTGAAGGGGAGGTGGGAAAGTCGGCGAAATTGCCAGAGAGGGGCGAATGGTGGGAACTGTAGGTAAGTAGAGAGATTGCAGAATGATCGATGTTTTGTGGAGGTTTCATTCAATGACATTTTCTGCTTGCTTATTCCTCTTATTGCAAGGAGGGTGGGGATATCGAGTATGTGTGTGGATCTCCCCTTCCTTATTCTCCTATTACAAGAGGGGAAGAATGATTGATCATTTATGTAGATTTCATTTTTCCTTTCTTATTCGCCCGATTACAAAGAGGACCGTATAATGATCGTCAATAGGTCGCCGAATCATCGCCGAATCATCGATCATCTATGTAGAACTCGTTCATTTTATTTTCTGCGTCCTTTCTCCTCCTAATATAAGGACGGTGGCAATCAATGATCGAGCATGTACGTAGATCTCTCTCTCCTTCCTTAACCTCTGTTAATACAAGAGGGAAGAATGACTGGTCATGTATGTAGATTTCATATCTCCTTCCTTAGTCCCCCCCTATTACAAAGAGGGATGAGTGATCGCCGAATAATTGATGATGTATGGAAATTTCATTAATTTTCTGCTTCTTCATCCTTCCTATTAGGAGGGGGGGGGAAATGATCGATCATGCACGTAGAGTTCTCCTTTCTTACTACTCGTATTACACGAGGTCAAAATGAAAAAAAAGAAAAAAAAGAAAAAGAAAAAAAAGATCGGTCATGTATGTAGAATACTTCTCTCTCGTTCCTTAGTCTGAGCGTAAAACAATTACGTCCAGACCTGGATGAATCTGACCGCAATCACGTCCAGAGCCGAGTAGAAGAAGTCCTAGTGTCAGTATGCCCTTATCCCCCCCCTCTGTTGTAAAGAGGTAGATAAATCGGATGCGGAAGGAGGGGCTCTTGCGCCCTGTTTGCTTTTTTGTTAGTGCAGGCTAAAAAGAAGAGGAGAGAGGAGGAGGAGAGAGGAGAGGGAAACACATCAAGATTAATAGCGTGGACATGCTACATTCCACAGGACGAGGCGAGAGAGGACCGAAACGATGAAGAATGAGACGGTGCGGATGCGCACTTGCTGCATCCGCAGGGTTCGCAGGAAGGGCTTCCTCGTTTCTGTTTTTTTTTTTCTTTTTTTTTTTTTTGTGTGTGTGTGGAGGTACGAGCTGTACAATGAAGTATTTGGGAATGTCAATGTCCATGACAAGCGACATGACATGATGAATCCATTGAAATTGTCCTCCTCTTCCTGGTTTCTTCGCTCTCATTTTCTTTTTTTTTTTTCTTTCTTTTATGACATGGGAACGAAAAAGGTGATGAAGGCGACATCATGTCATCAGGAAGCATATTTTGTATTTACTGTATTTACTCACATATCGTCGTGGAGAAGTGCGGGGTGAACCAGAGGAGAGGCAGAGAAGGAGAAGAGGACAAAAGACGAGGGGTTGTGACAGGCAGTTCCCTAGGTAGTTTCAGCGTCTCATCAGGAGGCTATATATATATATACGTTTCCCCTTTCTGTATTATTTGGCTGTTCCCTTCCTCTTTTCTTTGCCTCTTTGCCTTCTGGCTGTGTGCAAGTGGGTCGATATGACACACGGGGGTGGGGGCAGCCGCCGCTCAACCTACATCCACGTGGGCGGCCTTGTACACAAGAGGTTCTGAACAGGGGGAGTTGTAAGGAAGAAGATAAGAAATGAACTGATATCTTTTTTGTTTTCCTTTGTTTTTTTCGCTTTTGCGCTCTGATATTTATGTGATGATATATATAATATATATATATATCGTCACAAACAGAACTGCCCGGTAAACCGTAGGCGGAGAGAGAGAAGAGGACAACAAACGAGGGATGTTTCAGCCTCCTCCTCATGATGAGTAGGGAGGTGAACCTCCAACGAAACAGTTTGTCACAGCCCCCCCCTCGTTTGTTGTCCTCTTCTCCTTCTCCCTCCCTCTCTGCCCACTCTATACCGGGCAGCTCTGTTCGACGATATATGTGTGTATATTTTGTTCTAGGCTACTCCCTTCCTGCCCTATCGAACGTACCGTCATTTTAGCTGTATCGAGGGCAACTCTCCGTCTAGGTACATCTACAATAACCGTACCTTTGCTCGAAACAGCAAGCTAGAAGCGAACGTCAACAATCCCCCAAGACCGCAGCCCCCCCAACCCAACCGATCTACAGGATCAATGTATACTACATTTTATACTAGCGTCATTCTAGCTGTATTGAGGGCGACTTTCAGTCTAGATACAGCGATAATAACCGTGCGTTCTATTTGGGTGAAGACGGGTAGTTGCCCGAAGCAGCAAGCTCTAAGACAACATCAACAACCCCCCACCAGCGAGCCCCCCCCGCCCCCCCCCCCCTCTTCCCCCCCCCTTCCCCCCCCCACTGTACCTTATTTAAAGGATCGACGATAAATTTATTTACCATTACTATTATTTTTATTGTATTACTTTTGACCATGCTAATTTTCTCTGTGTCGTTTCATTTTTTTATTTTAATTTTTTTTTTAATTTTTTTTTTTTTTACGGATGTCCCGAAGGACTGACGATGAATTTATGTCTCACCCTATTTCTTAATTCTCCTCTCCTCTCATTTCGCCCTCAAGGCTTCCTGTCACTGCCAATCCGCTTTCGTGGCCAATCGCTCCTGTATGAACGTTATTGCCTCATCCGTTTCATATACATGACCTGATAAGAAGAACATGAGAATAAAATATTGCCTCATCTGGTTCATAATAATCAGATCCGAAAAAGATGAGAAGAAGATAAGAAGGAGATAAGATAAAGATGAGAAGAAGCTAAGGATAAGAAGCAGGTTAGATAACAAGAAAGACCACGGCCACACCTTTCTTTCCACCCAAGGTGGGAAAGAACAGCTGCTAAGAACTGTTCGATCAACTTCGATGACTGTTTCCTCCCCCCCCTCATCCGTGCTCTGCCAAAAAACTGTTCTGGAGGTCGCGCAGACTAAACGACTTTATTGACAGATATGGCCGTAGTTATATAGAGATGCTGCTACAAAAGGTGTGTGTGTGTGTGTGCGTGTGTGTGTGTGTGTGTGTGTGTGTGTTTGTGTGTGTGTGTGTGTGTGTGTGTGTGTGCCCTGAACGACCTTTTCACGCATCCCCCTTCCACCACCTTATTCGATGGAGCCGTCAAACGGAGGGTCTGATCACGCTCTTCCTCGCGTTCACATGCGACTTCTCTTTCTTTCTTTCTGTTTTTTTTTTTCGTTTTTTTCCTTTTTTTTCCTTTTTTTTTCCTAGCACATCTAAGTCCTAACCAGTTTCCTTTGCACGCCGCTTGGGTCTGTACCACAGCCTTTGGAAACTGGTTCGGACTTGAGCGAGGAAGAAAAGCTGTGGGACAGTGTGGGACAGACCCAAGCGTGTGTGGGACAGACCCAAGCATGTGGGACAGACCCCTCCGTGAATGACTTTCTTCGACTTCTCACACCACCCCCTGTGGGACAGACCCAAGCGTGTGGGACAGAGCCAAGCGTGGGACAGAGCCAAGCGTGTGGGACAGACCCCTCCGTGAATGACTTTCTTTGACTTCTCACGCGCCCCCCCCCGCCCCCTCCTCGGTGCCAGCATGGTTGCCTGCAAGGGGGGGTGAAAACGTGGATGGCTCCGGTTTGGCTGAATGCCATGGCGAGGAATACTTTGGTCGAGCAATTAGCGGCAGGAAAAAAAAGACACTCGCTTGCAATTCTCCCCTCCTGCTGTTTTCCTTTTTTCTTCAGTTTTAGGGTTTAGGGTTTTTGAAAGACGTGTTGTTGTCATCGATCCGTTGTTCCGCCCTGTGTGGTGATTTCACCTCACCTGTTCTCTTCTGGACTGTCTGGACAGAGTCTTGATGCTCTTGAATGTTGCTTGGCTGAATGTAGCTGCATGACACACTTATATGCATAACCATTAGCAAACAGATCATGGGTTCGAGTCCTGGAAGAACTCGTAAGTTTGAATACAAGAAGTAAATTGAGAGTTGTGGGAAAAGAACAAAATCACATTCCCTTAGTATAGTCGCTCATTCTACGAGAACCTGTATGAACAAAGGGAGTATGTAGTAGTAATGACACACCTCACTCTGAAATGGACCCCTTCACCTGCTCCCCCCCCCTCCCCCAACCTCCCAACACACCCACACCCACACCCACCCACCCCTCTTAAATTATTCCAAATAGTGATCTCTGTTGTTTGCCTGGTGCTCTGGCATCCAAATCGTCATCCACATGGTGTCTGTCTGATTATCTAATAGCCGCTTATTGCTAACTCATCTTTTTTCTTGTTAATGCCAACTCAGCATTAGATAATGCCAACTCAGCAGCTAGATGCCAACTGTCAGCTCGGCAGTGGGGACAAGGCAATCATTTTTTGCATAGGAGAAGCGTGTATCTGAAGAACTACCGTCGTGCATCACCCGAATAGAACGCCCGGTCATTATGGCTGTATTTGGGCCAACTTGCAGACTGGATGCAGCGACAATGACCGGGCATTTTATTCGGGTGAAGACGGTAGTGCAGGCATTGTCCAGTTGCACTTTGGGATGAGATTACGAGGTGGGTATATGCAATTATTAACAATTTCGTACAGACTGAGCAATAATTTGTGACCTGTCTGGACTCCGAAGCACATGCGATGCCTTAGGATGAGTAGTGACAATAGTAGTGGAGAGGTCCGAGTGTGCATGGTGCTTTTTATCCTTAGGAGGTTGGAGGCATTCACTTGAGTCCTTGACGGTTATGTGCTGCATTCCTTTAGGAGGTTGGGAACGAAATGCCTTTTACGTGATTGACAAAAAACGAAAGGTGCAATGACATGCACGGTTTCAGACTGCGAAATCTGGATTTTCTGAGGAAAGTGGCTATCTTCAATCTGTCTGCTGTGATTTCCATATCTGAGACCATTTTGCTGACCTGCGGATGGTGTGTGTATGCTGTGTGTGTGCTTGTATGTGCCTAAGCCTGTGTCACTGAGTTAGCTGCGCTTTGCATGCCTCGGGCAGGTATAACTTAGAGGTAGGTGTAGACACGATGACAGACCCATAATTTGGTGACAGAGGGATCACAGGAAACTGTCGAGTGCCAGGGTAGCTGTGGAATTTGATGTGTACCCGACTGGCCTTTGTCAGCAATTCGGGTAGTCCTGATTGATATGTCAGGGTAGCTGTAGAATTTTAGGGACCACCGGAAGATATTCAGCCTGCCTGGAACTTAGAGATAGGTGTAGACATGAGGACAGACCCACAGTGATGGCCAAAGACCCTACCAATACCGACTGGGGGGGAAAGGAAGCCAGCTGTATCACTTGGTTGGCAGTAAGTGTGCCCAGGCGGCCAGTGACAATTGCACCCAGGACCTCCTGAATGCCAAGTGCGTGCATAACCAACCAGGCCAGGCTGCTTCTCTCCACCCCTATTACTTCGTTACATACTTGCACGCAGACGGACCGGACGAGCGTCCGGTCTGGTCCGCTTTGCCACGTGTGGCACCCTCCCCCTGAACCGGACAGACCCGGACCGGACAGGGGCGTTTTTTTTTTTTGGGGGGGGGGGGGTGGGGGGGGGCGTAACTGGTTGTCGGGTGCACATTCGTGCGCCGCGCGGGTCCGGCCCGACGGCCCGGACGGCGTCCGCTTGCAAGTATGCTTTGTTATGCTTTATTTTCTGAACGAAAATGGTGTTCTTTCTTTTAATGAAAAAAGATACCATGTGAGGCATTGTTTCTCTCTGTCCCTTCACAAACACACACTCTGAGAGACAGAGAGAGAGACGTGCGGAACCGCCTGGACGGCGTCCGCTTGCAAGTATGCTTTGTTATGATTTATTTTCTGAACTAAAATGTTGTACTTTCTTTTAATGCAAGAAGATACCTTGTGAGGCATTGTTTCTTTTTGTCCCTTCACAAACACAGTCTGTGCGCGCGCGCGCGAGAGAGAGAGAGAGAGAGAGAGAGAGAGAGAGAGAGAGAGAGAGAGTACTATCACGACTGTTCATTTATGAAACTGCAACGAATGTTCATTTAGTGTGCAAAAAGCAGGACATAAACATAACAATAAGGAGCAGGGCATTCTTTTTGCCTGTGGTTTTGATCGTTACGGGTTTGTTTGCGGAGAACTAACATTTGAAAGTGTACGTCTCTTGCATCACTATATCAAAGAAAGCTGCAGCTGAAAACATGATTTTTACCCTCTCTAGCCATCCTATTCTACATGGAAGGAATTTCATTGGAGTTACCCTACAGAATTGTGATGGGAACCGTATGCCGCCTTTGGGTAAAGGCATTCAACATTTTCTCTATTGCATCTGTTGGGTTGAGGGTATGAAGTGTATTGATGTGGCGGCATATAAGGAATTTTGCAATGTTTAGATTGAGCAAGAAATTCATCTCTTTTTTGTTAAAAACAAATGAGTAGATGAAATGGTGTATTATATTATACGCCTCAAGCAGTAAGAAAGCCAGGTGCTGTGAAAAGCTGGTCACGGAGACTGGGTGCAGAAAACCAGGTGTGAAAAGCCGGTTACAGAGATTGTGTGCGTTTTGAAGCCAAATGTGGATCGTGATGGAGTAGGGCAATATCATGGAGAGAGTAGGCATGTTTTGAAACAAGATGTTGGAAAAAAAGAACTGCGTGAAAGTAAATAAATGCTAATATATTTGCCCCCAAAACCTAAATGTGATGTGGACTGCATGCGAGCATACGAACACTAGAAAGCATACTAAGTCTTGCGATTGCGTTGCGTGCGGCGAAGTCCAGTGTGCTGTACAGGGTCCGGTCCGGTCATCACACTCTAGGACTTTCCTATTCGCCGTATAGGCCCGTGCCTGCAGTGTGATGACCGGTGCGGCAGTCTCCCATCGAGTGCGGCTTCACTGTGCTGAGAGGTCCGCTCACTCATTCCGATGGGTCGTTCCTGAGCATATATATATATATATATATAAACATCGAATTCATGAAAACCTAACAAAACGACAAAACCTAACATTTTTAATAGAATGAAAAAGTACGACATCAAACTGTTACTTTTGACACATAAAAGATAATATTTTTAACTGTCCCGATAAAGGATGCAAAAAAACGGGCAAAAAGTCTAGCAATTCTTAAAATATGCAAGAAAATCATTTTTAGCAAAGAGCGTGTTATAAGACTATAAATTGTTCCTAGTAGATTGACAAAAAACAGAGCGTAAACAAGACCTTTAAAAACTCGAAATATGTATAAAAAAAAAAACAGTTTTAGTGAATACTCATTTATAAAACTATAAGTCTATGAGTCATTTTCAGTACTTGGTAAGAACCAAAATCTGTGAAAACTAATTTATAGATCTATAAATCATATAAGTCATTTTTTGAGCCTACTGTAAAACCCTTGTCAAAAAATATATATTATGTAAAAGACGAATTCAAACAACTTTTGCCGCAGAAACATCTTCAAATTCTTAACCAACCACGGTTTAAAATTAAGAAATGATAAAATATTTTAATAAAAAATAATATATTCGTCTATGTATGAGAGAACATATTCAAGCGAACGTATTTGCGAAAAGGACAACATATGGCGTGTTTGGGAGACCCTCCAATACGTTCATCGTGTTGCATACCTTTTAGAACTATACATATGATTTTTTTAGATAAAGAAAAAAATGGAATATTTTGGTTCATGAAGAAACATTGTTTTGGAAGGTAGTGATTTTCTGTAAAAAAACCTGCTTTTCTCCTCACCACTTCGAGTGGTTGTGAACAAATAGTTTTTTATTTTATTTTTTGCGGATCTTTAACTTCACCTAGAATTTTGTTGATGTAGGAGGCCTTAAAAACGTACAATGAGAATCTTTGAAAATTTTCGTGCAAACGTAACAATTTGTTTTGTTAGGTTTTCACTAATCCTATATAAATAAATATATATATATATATATGTTTGCCACAGCCCCTCGCTTGTTGTCCTCTTCTCCCTGTCTGCCTACGGTTTACCGGGCATCTCTATTTGATATATATATATATGTAACAAGGTATTCATGAAAAGTGGAGTTGAAAAATTGTCCAGTTTGACAAATGTGGAAGTACTTTTTTTTGAAAAAATAATTTTCTGCCGGCCAATATAGCTGAAATAATTTGCTGATTTTTTCTTCTTAAAGTAATAATTATTTTAAAATTCGAAAATGCCATGCAGCAGAGGCTTTTAAGAAAACATACCTTTCACCAACTCCACTTTGTTTTAAGCTCTGCACTTGAAGTTTCTACTCGTCTCACTATATGTATCTGGTCTCTTAAATCAGACACTAGGATTTTTTGGCACAAGTGGTATAATTCCAAACAATGGACATGAGTGGCTAGAGGAGGAGCTACTAGAGGGAGGTGCGCATAATACTGTGCCTCGTGCTGAACCTCCCCCTCATTTTGTTCCGGGGCGATCGACAGATGGATGGATAGAAAGACAGATAGATAGGGCGTCGTTCGACACTCCTCGGGGACGCGATTCCGAGGATTCCTTTGTCGTTCCACTTGTCCTCGGAGCCGATTTTCGGAACAGAAATGTGAAAACACTTCGAGGATAAATCCTTGGGCTCCGAGGATTTCCCAGCCAAATCGTCCTCGGCTTAAAGGGACCTCGCGAGGTCCTTTGGAGCCCGAGGATCCGGGATTATCGGGGTATCGCCAGCGAGTTCGGAAGGAAAGATGGAGGTCGAAGGTGGTCCAGTGGTGGTCCATCGGTCGGGAGACGGACATCGCAGGCCGTCCTCGTCCAAAACGTCCACCAACGCCTCGTCGTTTTACCGTTGGCGGTGATTGGCGGTACGACCCTGTCGCTTCGTCAGGCGGGCCCACGGTGGTGTCGTGGCGAGCATCGGACATCTTCGGCCGGCTCCTGGAGGGGTCCTAGCGTTCCCGCGGGCTTTCCAACGTCGAAAATACGGATTTTGTAAGCGTCCTCCCCCAGTCGGTGCTTGCAGCAATTTCGTATATTGGCGTCTTCCCTCTTGCAACGTGTGTCTGCGGTGGTCTCGATTGTGACAGCGCAAGCGCGTGTTCTGTCTCGGCTGCCCTGTTGTTCATGGCTGACCCGTACCGCAGGCTGCCTTTGCTGCTGCTCATCGCTGTGCTGCTGCTGTCCGTTGTCGTCTTTCATGTGTTTCCTCGGTCGCGTCCCTGGGAAGAAACAGACGCGGCGAACGTTGAAGAATGCCAGGAAGATGGAGAAGCTACACACGAAGACCACAATGTCCGTAGGGGCAGGGGGGTCGTCACGTCAGCATTGCAGCAGTGCGGAAGGCGGCAGGCGACCGTACGACCCAACGTTGTACAACCACCTGCCATCCCACGAGATTCCGTTGCCTCCGAGTGATGACGACGGCGACGACCCCCGATCCACGGTTAACATGTTATTCATCAAAATAGTACATTATTTTCTAAATAGTACTTTTGTCGTTCGAGGAACTCGAAAAGTATACACGGCTGACGAAAGAAGATGGTCATTATACATTCATACACGACGATAAGAGTCCCTGTTCAACGGATAAATCCTCAACACATGTAGTTTGTTTCAAGACGAAAAGTTCAATTACTGAAGTSGGATACATCCTTACTAARCTGGCACACATTMAGACAGTCARTATGAACGTAGCATATCGAAGGTTTCGCCTTGTGAGGGACACATATGAGTGACCCGAAAAAGGTCTTCGTTGAGGCTTTAAAGTGTGCATAGAAGTGACAAGAATAACTCATTTTTKAAGTTTAACTGAATACAAGCAGGATGAGTAGGATACATCCGAATCACATGAGTAGAATATATCCGAATCAAATATTTCATTATTCGGATGGAGAAAATTCGTTATGTTATCAACCGTGCGTCATTCATTAAATATCCTTCACTCAATCAAAAGGTTGAACTTATGATCATAGCCCAATAGATTATCATTCCAAGAAGCAATTATAGTTTAGTACCAGACATTTCTTAAAATAAAAGGGCGTCGGACGGAGTGAAGTGGTGGGCAACATTATGTAGAGATGTTATCATTTGCCGCTTGTCGGGTTTGACCTTGCAACCATGAATTTGTAACATCCCTACCCAATGCTGCCCACCACTCCGCCACTGTCCTCGCCGAGATCAAATAATGTATGTTAACAAAAAAACGTGCACCCTTGGGAACCCCTTAAGAACTTTAGTAACCATCAGTCTTAAATTTCAACTACATGGTGGATGCATGTACATTATCACTTTACCAAACATTTCTCGAAACAAACGGGCATCGTATGGAGTGAAGTGGTGGGGAGCATATTATATAGAGACGTTATCATTTGAGGATTGGACATTGGAGAAGGCTCAAACGAATGCGTAGGATACATCCGAATCAAACTGCGTACAGATTATCAGTTGCTGAAGTGACCAAGGACCTTATATTTATTTTGAAAGATCTCACTGGATTTTGAAGACATTTGACAACTCGTGAGAATCAGATTGAAAAGCGAAGACAAATTAAAAACAGAGCGGGACACCCAGCCTACATAAGCAGGCACACAACCATTGTCGAGACAAATGAGAAGCACGCCGCAAAAACAGATAACAGTTATCTGGTCCCAATATTGTGAATTCGTGACGGTTACCTCAAAAGTTTTCATTAACCAAAGAGTTGGCAAGGCTATCCAAATCAAGAACACCCACTACGCCATGAAATGTGAACTAAACCTTGCAAAATTGAGTCCAATGTTCTATAAAACCAAACAGTTTGCAAGGCGAGGACACAGGATGAATCAGAAACCCTCAGTACTTTAAAATTTCAACTAATCGGACATTCTAACACAAAATTTTGGAAATGTCGAGATTTATCTCTGAAAAAACCTACACTATGAAAACATTCACAAATCCGACATCCTGACGAAATTCTAAAAACGTAAGACTCGTTACCAAAGTGTCCCGAAATTGAAATCTTCAAAAGAAGCCTCTTCGCAAAGCGTTCAGTAGCGGTTCCCATGTTGAACTGTCAACAATGCAAGCCGAGATAGGAGGTTGAGGCAGACCTTCGAACCCCGTAATGGAAACCGAGAACGTCTCCCCCGGCCATGACAACAACACGTCTCAAGGACACAAGAATATCTGCAGCTTGCAGATAAGCTGATGTAAAATCTCCCAGCATCCAGTTTCCCCCTTGACGCTCTTGTGTTTGTGTGTCGTAACAATATCCTTATTCGCTGGGTCGGATGCATCCGAACCACAACGGACCATGAGCCAGGGTCGACACTAGTGGCTTTCGTTCACAGTGTGCAAAATTTCAACTAATTTGACATTTGACCACAAAACTTGGGAAGTGTCGAGACTCGTCTCTCAAACTCGTGAAAAGTAAAAATAAACAAAAAATGACGATACTACGGAAATGTTCACAAATCCGACATAATGACACAAAACTCTAGAAACGTATGACTGGTCACGAAAAGTCTTAAAAAGTTGAACTCTTCAGAAGAAGCCTCTTCGCAGAGCGTTCACTATCGGTTCCCATGTCGAACCGTCCACCATGCAAGCCGGAATTGGAGGTTGAGGCAGACCTTCAAACTCCGTAATGGCAAACGAGAAACCCTCAATATCACCCCCTGCTCCGAGCACAGCACGTCTCAAGGCGAAAAGAGTTTCTGAAGCTTTTACATAAGCTCTTGTAAAATCTCCTTGCATCCAATTTTCCCCCCGACGCTCATATATGCGCATGTCGAAAATGTTCAGATCAGTAAACCTCACCATGATGACAAACATTGTCCGTCCTCCCGCTACGATCCTGAAGATTCTCTCATATTGAAAAGGAAACGCTCCTCCCTTTGTGATGATCGCCAGTCGCCCAGGGACTTTTATTTCAATAAAGCCCAAAATCTCATCCATGTTTTCGAAGTACGTCAGAAGAGGAAAGTCGGCACACTGCAAAAGACAAAAGTCACAATAAAAGCGTCACATCAAGGTCAGGATCGAAAGCTCGAGGTCATGCTACGATGACCAGAACGCCCCCACGGTCAATGTCGAAAACTGATGAATAACTCTTGTCGATTTGAAGCGAGTAACCCAGAGAGCACAAATCATTAAGCGATGTATTCCATGGAGTCAAGCGTGGTGTGCACAGACCAGCATGGCAATACGTTCTCCTCACGAAAAGACGACAACCATCACACTCTCGATGAGGTAGCCTCCTGCCCGCTCCCTTCTTCGAAAACGTTTTGTGTTTGAGCGCCAAGGCCGTTTTCTAGGGCGGGAGTTGCATTTTTTCTTACTTTCAGAGGAATGACAAGACCGGTGGTAAACTTTCTGGAGGACTTGCAGACATTCGTCCTCGTTTGTCTCATCCAAGAAAACGCAACGGTTGTGACATGTTGATACTCTTCCTCGTGTCTTGGAGCTTTTTTTAATTTTTTTTCCCAGGCGTCGGCATACAATTCTCTTAGTGTGGTCCCTTTTCCGATTGGAATCCAGTACTCCACTTTGAATTGGTTGTAAGTTGGCGAATCTTCGTTCTTGTCAACTTCACTGCGAACCTGGCCAACCCAAAAAGACACTCCTTGATGCATGTCCTCGTCTGATGGTTGCATAATGACAAAACTGTCGACATGCACATCTTCGAAAAGATCAAAGCTGGCCTTAGGCTTGTCCCTCTGAAGTCCCACGAACAGAGGTTGTCGCTGTAATCCGGATGCATCCGAATTGGAGCAAGAACTGATGTCTTCAACGACATGGGTGACCTTTGGCCAGAATTCGGCACCCCGTTGTCGATAATGTCCCCCGCGTGTTTGACGTGATCTTCCCAAAACCAAAAAACCCTATCTATTCTAGTCACCTCTTCGTCTCGGAAAGTCATCCAAGTTTCTCTTTTTTTTTCATAGACTTCCAGAAACCTGTTCACACCCTCCAAACCGTTTTTGTAATCGTCGAGGAACGCCGGTTGGACTGGCAGAGGATCGAAAGGTTGCTGCGGACTAGCGTAACCACCGTTGTCTGTTTGTTTGAACCAGTAAAGAGGACCATCCTCGGGCAACCACTTAGCGTCTGTGCAATACTCTTTATAGTACACCGTCCCACTCTAATTACAGTCACCGAGATTCCCTTCGGGTATGGAGCTCGACATCCCAGCGTCGGTCATTTCAGAACATGCTGAAGAGACTCTGGATGTACAGTCGACACTAACAAACTGGCCCCCGCTTCCAATGATTATGTGGTCTTCGAGCACGTCACGACAGATGTACGAATGCGCGGTGGAGGTGGACAACTGTGTTCTTTTCCGTCGATGCTGAGTGTTTGAGTCACGTGACCGTTTTCCAGAAGAAGCACATGGCTCGAGTCGAGAAGAAGTACTATCGGCACTGCTTGGAACTCCAACGCCCATAACCAATCCCTTCCCAACCAATTGCTGCCGAAAATGTCACGGAAGGCAAGTTGGCGTGGAAGGGAAGTCTTGATGGACAGTCGTCGTATCACACCAGTGAAGTATGTGTTGAGAAGCGTCCCACTTTTCCCTGCGAGCAGAGCAACAGACGTTAACCCAAATCGCAGCCGAGACAGTTGTTGGACTTTGGCAATGATAAAGTGACGGAGATGCGTCCGGTAGTTGGGGAGCACTATAGAGGGCAACGCAACGAAACAAAAAGACAGTGCATAGCCAGCCTTGAACTGGACGACAAGCCTTGACCCGCACCGATTTTACATGTATGGTGTAGAAATGGCGGACCCGCAAGTATGTAACATATTTTAGAGTCGGATGAATCCGACGCAACAACGCAGACAAATATCGACTTGACATTAGACGTGCACAACCAGCCTTGAACCGGACTACAAGCCTTGCCCGTCACCGATCAGACATGTTGTAGCAATTGCGGATGCGCAAATATGTAACTGATTTTAGAGTCGGATGAATCCGATACAATGATGCAGGTAAATATTGGCAAGTCCGCATTGTCGCAGGTTCTTATGTCGGATGCATCCGAGACACTTAAATCCCGTGAGATTTAGACAATTGCAACACACACCACCAGTGCGTCAAGTATGTAATGCCGAGCACCATCAGCACGCATACAGACGACGGAAGTGATCACGAGTCCTATGCGTTGTAAAAAATTGACAACCTTCCCGCAATGCCAAAAAGTCAGCGATCCTGTGCTGTGGGGTGGCAAAAACACTCTTAAGGAACCTCGCAGTCGTGTTCGGAAATTGTTGGCGTAGCACCAGATGCTCACCAAACAGTTTCGAATGTCGATGTAATGGACAGATCATATGATGCCTTACGATCAAGCAGTGGTTGATAGTTGGCCCCCTTTCCCGGTCTGGATTTTTGAGAGCAGAGTTTTGCACTCCACCGTGAGATCCATATCGGAGAAGGGGACCTGCTTCCCTGCCGCTGTTAACTGCAGTCATCATAAGAGAGTCTATGATGCGAGAACCGCAAAATGAGCAATCGCGGGGGAATATCGCGGTCGCATGACGAACTTTTTGGCCTAGCACCAGATGCTCACCGACCAGTCCTGAATGTTGGTTGTATCGACACACCATATGATGTTTTACAAGCAAGCAGTGGTGGATAGCTGGCCCCCTTTCCCGGTGTGGATCTTTGAGAGCAGAGTTTCACACTCCACCGTGAGATCCATATCGGAGAAGGGGACCTGCTACCCTGCCGCTGTTAACTGTAGTCATCATAAGGGAGTCTATGACGCGAGAACCCCAAAATGAGCA